GCCATGTTAACAGTCACCCATTATGCCAAGGCCATAATTAGGAAATCACATTGGCATATACATCCTGTCATTAGAAGTGTCTATTGCTATTGCATTGTAATTACATTTTAGTAGGTTGTTATTACACCATTTAGAAGCTGTCCGTCTTACCTCAATCTCCTCCTTAATTGGTTATGTTGGTCTGTCCCGCCCCCCGGGTCCGCCCACCTCTTTGACGGAACATTCCAGTGGTCTAAGCATTTTAAACTGGAGAGTATTACAACTGAGTCTAATATGCCACAGAATGAAAGAAATGAAGGAGAAGAAGAAAAAAAATTGGGAAGAGAGAGGGAGAGAAATTGGAAAAAGACAGAACTTGGAAAGAGGGTTCAAAAAAAAAAAAAAAAAGGATCGAGAAGACTTGAAAGAGGGAAAAAGGGTGAAAAACACAGTTTTCTTGTTGCATGACAGATTCCCTCCCAGCCAACCAAGGCTTGTCCTTTAATACCCAGAAGCCTTCATGTGGCTTCTCAACGATTGCACATGGGGCAAAGCTGACCACATTTCTGCCACGCTGCTTATTATACTGCATTGCTCACACTCTGCATGTGCGTTTGCATGTGTGTGTGTGAGACTAAGTGCCCATGTACAGTAAATGTGTACACATGCATGTGTAAGCTTGTTGGAAAGCAGCGGCAGTCATGCAGAGAAGCTTTCAATGAGACTTGCACGTCTTAATTTGTCAACACGCTGGTGATGGACGGGAGAGAGGAAAGTGGAGGAAAAAAATGTCAAATGTGTAACTAATAGTTTTCCAAACAATGTTGACCCGACACAAGTTCTTCAGGCGTTCAAACAGGAGCAAAATGGATAAAAGTTAAACTTATATGAGCTGCCTGACCTGTGAGTCAGTTTGAAATGTATGACTTCTCATTTATATAGTTAGTTTTTGTGGTGGATAGTAAAAATCTGATTTGCTACTAAATATTAGCTTGAAATCTAATGTCCTAATTGATCTGTGTGAAGATTAGGACAAGATCAGTGTGTGTAAACTAAAACTCTCAACAAGGGTGACTTACTAGATCAAAACATGAAGAACTGTCCACTAAATAAAAGTTCTTTTTTTGAAAAAGACGCACTTTGATTGTAGGGAATCCCAAGTACGCTTCATTGTGGAATTTCATACATGTATATATTATACAGACTCACCCACTCACACAAATAAAGGCCCACTGGACACACTGCAGGAGTTTTCCACCACTGTCAAAGGCAAGAATAGAAGGATGAAGGAGAGGAAAATGAAGGACGGAGACTTGTGTTCCTTTCGACTGACCACAAGGATTTCCTCTTTATGATCTTCGTGACCGGCCTTGTATACAGCATGTGCACACATACACCCACAGGCGTCCACAGTACGATACGTTTCCTATAAATCTGATATTCCGTAAAATAATAATGATTTAGTGTTGCAAAGACAGGGAGGTGTCGATTAAACAATAGTCTTGCTTAACCAGTGCATTATAGAATAGTCTAACTGCACCTCATCATCATTCTGGTAAAGCGGAGAAAAACACAATTGCTCGTCTGTATTTCTTTAAACAAAGGTCGCTGCCCAGAGGTTGTTGTTGTTGTTTCCCGTAGACAAAGGGATTTTGAAAATCGGAACACGTAGATAGTGGGAGAGGAGGAGAAAGCTGTGTGAAATGCGTGGCGACGGTTGGCCAATACCTCCAGTTCACATCCAGTGAGACAAACTAATCAAAACACAATGAAGTAAAGAGAATGCTGTGGGTATTTTTCCCTCTTTTAGTTTCAAAATGCACTTAAGCTAAAAACCTATGGACTGTGTTTGTTTTGTATGATATTTAAAACATTCAGAGTCAACAGTTTAATCCGATGCATATCAAAATCTGACACATGCTGCCTGAATGTGCAAACTAGCTGAATGTAAATAATCTTTCTCCAGACTCCAGCTTGAATTATTGAGTGTTTTTGTGTTAATTTTAATAATGCAGTGGTTTGGCAGCGTATACGCTTTGCAATGGTAGAACACAGGAAGACTGCGTAATATACATTTCTTTTTAGAGGTATTTGGTTTTAAATTCATGCTACTGGTTCAACACATGCACTTCATGTTAAATATTACATTAACAAACAGTAAGATAATAGTGATAGGATGCTGTCATACAAAACAAATTAATCTGTCACTGTTAGAAATACAGCGTGCACACGTTCGCTGTCTGTCACACTGTCATTGTTTGAATATTAAAGCGATAACAGCCATTAGTAATATTAGTGTTTTTCTGCCATGACTAATCCAAATGCCCACTATGAAAGAAACCTGTTACACTCACTTACACTCACATTGCTGCATCTTCTGCTGTGAATTCGGATTCTGACTCTCACACTGAGCCACCATGAGGTGGTTTTTTTGGTTTTTGCTTCCCTCTACTGTTCAACAGTCAAACATCAGCAGACCAGAGTCAGACGGTCATTTTCTCTGACAAGTAAACATATTATGGAAAGAGCAGATTAATTCGAACAGCAAATATTAGTCCAAATAAACCACTGAACTGAAAGATGTTCCTTGAAAACAGACCTGAAACAAACATTAATTGAAAAGTACAGTCATATGTTGAAAATCACACCAATTTAATCGCTATTTTTAGAACTGTGGTACAATATCCTGTTGAATAATACAATCAACAGTTATTATTTTTGTTTCCAGGCATTTTAGGATGAATAAATATTAGTTTTAGAAGCATTTTTCTTTTATTTATTTGTTAAATTTATTTATAAAACTCTAACTTGATGCGCTTTCCTGTATTGCACTTGAAACAGGTTTGCATACAATTTTATTGTACATGTACAATGACAATAAAGAAATTCTGTACTATTCTAATATCATGTCCCAGTATATAATACAAACAAACGCATCTAAATTATAGTCACTCAGCAGCTTTTGTGGGGAACTTCCAAATTTAGACATGACAAGAATAAACACACACACACACACACACACACATGCATACATACACAGAAGCTGTGAATAGCTTATTGTAGCCTGGTGTTGCAGAACGTGGGTCAGAGAGCTTTAAAAAGTTGTCAAATGGCCAATTATAGTCAGCCAAATAAGGCTAGAGGTGTGTGTGTCCTTATATGTGTGTGCGTGCCTATGTGTGCGGACAGGAAGTGGTGGTGGCTGGTTTGAGGTCAGTGGCAGGAAAGAATGGGAGCTATGCTGTTGCTGAGACAACGGCTGGTCAAAGCGCAAGCTTTGGGTTTCCTGACACACTGCAGCCTAAAACCACATCCCACCATCACTCCATCCATTCATCCACGCAGCCGTCCGTCCATCCGTACCTGGTGCCTCGGGGTCCTTGCTCATTTTACACTTGGTGATTATTTTCATTCATTTCACCATCATACCTTTTATTTAGACATTCATTTTGTCTCACTGCATCTCTCTCTCTCGTTTTCATCCACCCCACATCCCACAACACTCCAACACCCCACTCCATGCCCAGTGGCATCTATATAAAATGCTTCCTTACTAAATGCTGCTCCACCCTTCTCTTTAAACATTAAACACTGCACAACAGTGTGACCACAGGAACTAAAAGGCCGTGTTTCTGTGCTGTTTACTAGCCTGAGGCATACCGCATCCCTCTCATTCAGATCTGGGCCCACAACCATACACAAAAAATGAGAAGCACCAAATGATATCACCGCAGTGAGGAAACTCATCATCTATGACACCTTTTTCACATTTTTGCTGTTAAAAACAATCTAAAAAGTCATTGTTGGCGTAAGTCAGTCTCATTTTTTATGTATGGTGCAATAGTCACTACTTTTTTATTTGATATTCCTCCACATCCTACTGAACCATCAATCTAAGGCCTGCTGTGGAAGCCAGGTAACTGTCAGCATCCACGTATCATGCTTTCTTCTCTTGTAACTATGTACCAGTCATTCCACTGGGGAACACAAACAGGACGCTGCAACTGGACTAACTGGTAATTAGCATGCCGCAGGGTATGTATATTTTCCAAAGTTGTAAAGAAATAAGAAATCAAACAACATGACCAAAAAAACCATAGACTCTGGGACTGAAGTGGAAATGATCAACACTCTGATCACAGTCCCGCCAGCAGATGTCAGCCTTGCCAAAGAAAGGTGTTCAAGATGCAACTAGTGCCAGTGCAGGCAAATCATAGGAGTGTAAATGGGTTTAACAACGACGAGCACAGCTGCATGGAAAGTTTTCTCGCAGCCATTATTGAACAGCTCCACACATGCACCGGCTTTTATTGTCATCATGTGCGATAATGTAATTCATTTTGCCACACCTGCTGATTAACAAGGATGTGCAACTATGTAATGTTCTGCTGATTCCTTTGA